GTGTGTTTAGGAAGAGCTGGTGCATCCCAGCTCCTCGAAAGCCCCCAGGATCCTGCAGGCATCACTGCCAGGAGATGTGAATGATAAGCTGAAGGGCTCAGTCATGACTAATGGTCAGAAATAGCCCTTATGATAAATCTGAAGCTAAATATAATTGAAAAAAGGAGGATGGAGGGGTGGCCATGGCAGGGTGACAGAAATAGATCGGATCATTTGATTTTTGATGTACAAATGACAAACAGGATCCAGAGCCTGGGAGAGCCGTGTGAATTGCTGACAGTGGGCCATGTTGTCAGTGGAGCCCTCGCCAGACCCCTCTGGGCTGGCTGTGCAGCCCTTTCTGGCCACAGTGGTTTCCTGTGCTGTGGGAGCTGACTCACAGAGCTCAGATCGCCCCCACCATGGTGCCAGGACCCCCCATCCCTCATCTCTGCTCTGAGCTGCTCCCCAGGAGCTGCACAAGCCCAGCTGGGCTCTGCTGGGCATTTTCCTTTCTCCAGCTGGGCTGGTGGCACTGGGCAGTCCCGTGGCACAGCTGACCTCAGTTCCTGTTTGTTCCTCTTCCTCCTCAGAGGATGAGCAGTGCCAGGCTGGCCTGTCACTATTCTGTGTACACAGAGTGATTCTAGTGCAGCCAGGCTTTGGGAAATCGTGCTGCAGGGTGACTCCACTGCTGGCTTCTCTTTCATGTGAAGGCTTTTGTGATGCCAAGGTGTGCAGGCAGGAATTCAGCAAGGGAGAAAGAACATCCTTCTTGTCCCAGCAGAGGATCCTCCAAAGTCTGCTCACCTGCAGATTTAGATTAGATATTAAGAATAAATTATTGTGAGGGTGATAAGGCCTCACAACCTACTGGAATAGGTTATTCCAAGTAGTTGTGGACACCCCATCTCTAGAAGTGCTCAAGATCAGGCTGGATGGGGCCCTAGGCAACCTGTTTTAGTGCAAGATGTGCCTGCAGGGAGTTGGAACTGAATCATCTTTAAGGTCCCTTTCAACCCAAGCAATTCTTTGATTGTAGGACATGATCATGAGCCAGATCAGGAATTTTTACTTAAAGACTTTTCTAAATATTACAGACTTTTCTAAATGATACAGACTTTTCTGAGTATTGCAGACTTTTCTAAATGACACATCTGAGGATTATTTATTGTAATATTTGTTCTGGTCCCACTGAATTCTCTCTGTGTCACCACCAGCTTTGCTGTGAGCAGCAGTGTCACCCCTGGGGTCTGGAAGAGCCTCCCCTTTCCCAGGGCAGCTTTTGGGTGGGAATGCTGATTTTGCTGATCCTTTGGGAAGGTGTTAAAGCCCTGTGAGATCATCAGGGGCGTGGTGCACTTCTGCAATCTGACTATCAGAGCCTTTCCTCACTTTATTTTATCTTTATGCCAGATCAGTGGGGTTTGGAGAAACTCCCAAGAGCATTTGGGAGCCTGGAGTACCTGAGGAAGGTGGAAGCTGCAGCAAAGCC